CTTTAACTAAATATCTTCACTAATGCAGATGATAGCTCCAAGGGAGTTTGTTAAAAAGTTAGTGTCAAGCTCTACATCTCAAAGCTCCTTATGGTTCCTTAAAAGCTGAAAGAATTTTAACTAGATTTTCTGTATCTTAATAACACGAAAGAATGTTTTTGAAGACTGCTGTTCATTGCACCATAATCTCTTTAACTGTGTTAAGACACTAAGATATTTTTTAAATAACAGTGTGTGTAATTTTGGGGAAAAAAGGATATCAATATGTGATTATTATGAAAATGAAGAGGCAGCTACTAGGTATGGAATTTTGCAGAATCCTTGATGTGTTCAGTGTACCATTACTAAATGACTGAAATCTAAATAACATTTGGCATTATAATAGAAGAAAATAACTGACTAAGCTAGCCTAAGAAGCAGTGATACTGAACCATAATAAGAAGTGTTTTTTTCCAGCACCAGACTTTCTTCTCTGAAATTAGACTGAATAAAATGGGGGTAATTAAAGATAGATACTTACTGGACAGCAAAGCACAAAAAACGAAGAGTGGATTTAAGGATTTGTCAAAAATCTTTAGTTTTGTGAGTCGCTATTTTCAAGGTTTGCCCCTCAGTGGGTATATTCTTTTGTGAAATTTCTGAAACCTTCAATTCTTCTTAATATTAACAGCAAAGATTTTAAGGTAATTTTAAAGACTTGATGTAGAACCTGTCTTGCAGACTCCTGTTGTGAGAAGAGAACCTCTGGACCATGATGCCTGGATGGCTAATTTACTTTTTCCTGTGCATCTACTTGTGTCTTTTCATTAGTTGTAATAGTTCTGCAGGCTTTGTATTATAATGGCAATACTGTCCTCTTAATAAATTCAATGTAGCTACTGTTAAGGGCCCAATAAATGGAAAACCAGAAGCAATAGCATAAGGAAGAAAGTCTCTTTCTCTGGGCAAAACAGGTACCCAAGGGTTCTGAGGAGTACAGTATATTTCTCTGTGGTAAAGAAACATTTCCCTTTCTGTTTCTAAAACCATCTCATATCTCTAACATCAGTTAGCAACTGTAATACTGGTGTCAGGAATAACATATCCCAGCTGCATTTTAGAGTGAATTGAGCTGGGACAAGAGGTCCTTGGAGCTTACTGAATGGGTGAGAGCTTTTAAAGGGAGAAATCAATACTACAGCAGGATTTAGACAACTTAGCAAAATATATCAGACAGAACTTTGGTCAAAGAATAACTACAATAGCAAGTTAACCCATGGGGTGCCTGAAGTACAGTCTATAGCATTTCACTTAAACTCTCAGTTGAAAAGAATATTAGTTATTCTAGCAGGGAACTGGAAGTATAGTAGAGGTTGCAAATCCACTCCGTTAAAAGGTCTCCTTCTCACACATGTTACCCAAATTCTCTTTGGATATCATCTCTGTGATTTTTCATACCAGTTAGACATGAGAAGTTAAAGAATTGCTCTATTAAGCAAAATTGCTCAGATGTGAAGAAAATTTACTTCTTTTTTTTTTCTTTTTTTTTTTTCTTTTTTTTTTTTTTCTGAGTTGCTACTTGGTAGAAGAGGTACTTTGCAGATAATCAGAAGGAGTAAGCAATACTAAAAAGACTAGAAGATTTTCTTGGGACATGTCTTGGTAGGGCTGACTGCCTGTACTTGGGATAGAACAGATTAGCACCTGAAAGGTCTGTCACTGCAACTGTATTTTCTCAGGTCTTAGCAGAACATATTTTTGGTAATAGCATTTCCTATGCTAGGATTGACATCACACACAAGGATAGCTACCCATGGAGGCAGGACTAAACCATGATTATGGAATCCCAGTAATATTCTGTTAATTTTAGATTTTTAGATTTTCACTTTTAAAATCTTTTTCCTATTAAAATGACAAAAATAGTAAGAGCATATAAAAAGAGTAAGTAAATGGTCAATGAAATTATGCTGTTACCAGTCAAACACTACAAGTAAAATGTAGAGGAGACCTACTTCTTTTCTACCCTGTTCATTTCAGTAAAATGTGTATTTTAAAAGCCCAGCTGGAAGTATTCAAACTATAACATACATAGCAATTAAATTGTTTCTTTGGGCAATTTCAAAACCGAGGAAATTAAAAACATAAAATTACACTGACACCTCACTGAACACTGAACTTCCTTGTAGTCCCACCCTCAAACTGAGTTAGGCTGTAGGAAATATTTCTTATAAAGCTTTAATGCCCCATCCATCTTCAGTTAAGGTAAGAGGGTTCTGGTTTCACACATTTTGCATTCTTATTGGCCATCAGCAGACATATGCAGAAATGAAATCTTTCTTTTGAGTATTTTCTCATTATTTATATAACCTATTCAAGTAGTAGAATATAAGCAGTCCTCTTTGTGGCTGGAATTAGTACATTTGATGGAAGGCTGTGGGTTTTTGACCCTTGCTGAATCTTCATGTGTGCCTACATGGCAGGCACCTCCTGAGACTGCAGCACCTGTTGACACACCCAAGCA